TCATTGTCCGAACTCTTCCACCTGAGCATCAAGGACCCCTCACCAACTACTCTTTACTCCGAATATGTCACAGGAATAACACTGACCATTTATTGAGTGTTTACTGTGCGCCAGGAACCATTTTACACTCATCATTTTGTTTATTTCTTTCTATCACTTCTGAGATAGGTACGGTAATAATCTTCATCTTATAGATAAGGAAACAGACTCAGAGAGGAAAACCCACTTATGCAAGCCCAAACAGCTGGGAAGTGGCTGAGCAGGAATTCTAAGTCCTCTGCTCTTCAACCACTGCCTCCTCAGACCCTCAACTAGGCTTCTACCTGGAGTTGACCAATCTGGTGGTCTACTCCAGCCAGCAATCTCCCTTTGGTTAAGCTCACCTAGCCCACGGGTAAACACTGAGTACAGAGAGCTTACTGCTATAACTTGTAATTTGTGTATTCACTTCCAGGGTTTCTGTTCAGTGGTAAGATAAGAGCAGGTTCTATATCCTTTTAGATCTGTGTTAAGTTTCGGCTCCACTTTTCACTAGATGTGTGACCTTTGGGCAAGTCACTTTAACAGATGAAGATTAAATGACATAATGAAATGTGAAAATGTCTAGCACAGAAGCTGGCACATTGTGTGTTCTCAGTAAATGAGAGAGATCGGGTCAAAGTTAGCAGAGATTACCAGAGAAGTCCTGAAAAGCTGACCCATAACTCCATAGAGGGTCACCTGGGTCTTCCAGCCTCTCTGCTTTGCTTTCAACTCTTCTGGCAAATATATCCTGCCATGATCTCTACCATTAATGCTCCTTAATAAACCCACGGGCTTTAGAGTCAGAAAGACTAAGTTATAATCCTGGCTCCACCACTTTCCACCTGTATGTCCTTGGACAAATGACTTTTTACTCTTTGAGGCTCAGTGTTCTCATGTATAAAATATCAACAATGGCATCTACTCCATAGGATTAGATGATAGTATGCATGTTAATGTTTACCAAATGGTCAAGCATATTGTACAGCCTTAGAAAATGTTAACTATTTTTCCTGAATAATAATAACAGTCACAGCAATTTAAAACTGCCTACTGATTAGAATTAGAGTCCAAATTCCTTGACTCAGTATTGAGCGCCTTGCGTATTGTGGCCCCATTGTTGCTTCCTGGCTTCTCCTCCCACGGTTCCCTTATGTGGATGTCATGCTGAATCCCAATGTGGCTTTTTCACCTCTGTGCCTCTGCCCATGATCCTCCTTTTCATTCAGAATGCTCGCCCACACTTAATGCCTATCTACACCCTGTCCCGCTCAAGCCTCACCTTCCAACTAACCCCATAGCCTCTTTGATTGCCCTGAGTTTCCACTTCCGTCTGCACATGGCTTAGCTAGAGTATCACTCTTCTAGTGATTACATTTGACTTTCCTTTCCAAGAATTGACCTTTCTGCACTATCAGTCAATGTGTTCCAGGGGAAGGCATGTGGCTGAGGTCTTAGACAAAATCACGCTGATTAATTAAGAGATGCACATCTGACCAAAGCTTAGCCAATGAGAATCAGCCCTGGAACTTTTGACGAAGCCATTGAGTAACAGATGTTCTTTTTCAACAGGCATTGCTAAGCTATAGCAATGCAATTTCAGAGTTGCTAGTAGTCATCTTTATCACCTTCAAGAGAGAAGTGGACTTAAAAATAAGCCAACACAGAGGAACCAAGAAATGGAGAGAGATGTGTTAGAATGGCATTATTTGTGCATCTGGATGCATCCGTGCCTGAAGTCAGATACTCTTCACTTTTAAGTTATGTGAAGTACTTGAACAACAAATAAAATAAAAATTAAAAAAAGTTATGTGAGTTAAAGATACTACACTCTTTATTTTATTTTAATTTATTTAAGCCAGTTTGAGTTGGATTTCTGTCACTTGCCACTGAAAGACTTCTGACCAATATAGTGATCCAGTTAAATGGTAAGTTTCTTGTGAGTAAGGACTGCATTTTGTAGATTTTGTAGGGACAGGGATGATCTCAGCATTGCAGCACCCTGGCTTAAGGAGGATAACAAAGCAGGTGAAGAACAAAGAAATAAGTATCACTTTGTATTTTCTCAAAGGTCCAGTGTTCTGCACTTGGGAGACTCTAAAATACTTGAATAAAGTTCACTTGAACAAGAAACATGCAATAAGCATTCCCAATCTTATCTGAAACAAAAAAGACCCTTTGCTTCTTTGCAGTTTCTCTGAGGAAGACTGATTTTTCACTTTCTGAATGGAATGATGTTGGTGAAAGAGTTTTTCTAGGAACACCTCAGGGCAGAAAGAGATACTTCAAGTCCACTAATCTAACTGATTAGCTCCCACCTTGTATGGGTGGAAAAAAACGAGATTGAAGCTATAAACAATAGCTTAACACTGCATGGTAAGTCACAGGCAGTCAGCCAAGACCATGACTCACAGTCCAGTGCTCTGGCTTCTATTCTGGTGTCACTTTATTAAGCAAAAAGTATCAGTTTCTTACCCGGAGATCTCAGAAATCTCTAAGCAAAATGGAATTAATTGCTCAACTCTGATAACAGCCCTCAGAGATGGGACAGCAACACGAGGAAAAAGCACTGGGCTAGTTTACTCACTTACTGGCTGTGTGACTTTGGGTAAGATTGTAACTTTTCTAGGCTCAGCTTTCTGGGGGCAAGGGAAGGTGGTGTTTAAAGGAGCTGATCTCTAAGATCCCTGAAATTTTATAAATACATGGAGCTTGTTGAACAGTTTATTCAATCCCCAAGATTAAATCCACAGGGATTACAGAGAATTAAAAGGCCAAGAGGTCAGCAACCCATCTGCAGGCTCCAAACTAAGGCTAAGGAATTGGGGGTTCCAACTGAGCATATTCTTTCCAACGTCCTTTGGAAAGAGAATAGATTAGAAATACATAAAATCACTTTCTGGGTACCACTGGGAAATAGAGAGAGATATGGCCCATATCCTACAATTCTTTTTCCTCACTTTCTTCAAAGATCCTAAAAGGCCCATAACTAAGTTGAATGGAGTGAAACATGCCCATGAGAATGTCCACATCTGAATAAACACTGTCTTCCTCAAAGTATTTCCTTTGGGAGTTTGGGTAGTTCTTCCCATGGTGCAGTAATTCCTCCCTGAATTTGTAGAAGTCCTCTTGGGAAGTAAACCAGCTTCATGATTTTGCCCTCACACCTTGGCTTTCATCCCAAGTGACAATTGTCAATTTGATCACCCATCATATTTCCTACACTTGGCCCTGAGTGACTTCTATCATTTCTAAAAATCATATTCCTCCTTTATTTAAAAGATGAAGGTTTCAGTGCACTCTCCCAGGGTGCACGCTCCCTGGGAGCGTGCCTGTACCTTTCACTTCCCCTTCTTCTTCCCTCTGTAAGGGATCCCACAAGACTTGTAACCAGAGGAGCCATGGGCAGTGGCAGCTCATCTCAGTCTAACCCCCTGAACCTGTCCCCAAGGTGCCTTTTCTCTGACTCCTCAGCGAGCCAGAGAAGCTCCATCTAGGCTCATTTCTTTCCTATAACACTTCTAGAGAGTGAGATCAGTCCCACCTGGGCTCTCTCCTGTCGCTTCTTCTTATCCTAAGCCCTTCCTTGCTACACTGTCTCCCGCTTTAATAAATGTACTCTCAAAATAAAAAAATTAAAAGATGGAGGTTTCTCCTCAACAGTGACCTTCAAGAGAATACACCCCATACTCCAAACATAATTCCCTACAATATTTTCAGCAAGATAAAAATCAACAAGTGATACAACACCTCCTCCAGGGAGGTTCTTTTGAAAAGGCCGCTTGTTGAATACTTTGAATACTAAAAAAAAAAATCTCTGCTGCATGATCATCACATTTTCCCTTCTCTATCTCACCCCTGAGGGCTCCAAACTTTTTCTTAGCCTTCATCAGCCCTCCTCCCCCATCCTCTGGCCCCACTTTCTCCGGCTCAACTCTCTTCCCTGCCTGAAATTAGGCAAATGCCCAAGTTGCTGAACCTTCAAAATCTGTCTTCGATCGAAAGGCATGGGGGACTCTAATGGATCCTGGAAAATAGTCTCAGCAGTTTTTATTCCAAAAGACCCTTTTGGAATTCTTGGGTAAGATGTCTGTCTTAGCCAAACATTTTAGAGGGGCCCAGAAACTCATCTCCATTTGGGCATAGCACCAGAACCCTCCTTCTTGCATTGAGTGAGTGTGGGTAATGAACACCAGTCCACCAGAGGCTCATGTTGCCAGGTTATCAAACATTCACATCTCAAACACTGAATAGACACTACAGACATCCTCTTCCTATAGCTTAGCACAGCACTTCAAAGTTTACAAGATACTCTCATTTGTTCTTGGAATTCTCTCCACTGTTTTATAGATGAGAAAACCAACCTCAGAGAAGTGAAACACCCAAGTTGATGATGTCAGAAAGTTAAAGGTCAAAGTCAGATCTCTTAAGAGTCCCCACCTCATGCTTTTTTCAATGCAACAAAAACTGCTGCCCTGGCTAGGTAGCTCAGTTGGTTTGAGCATCAATACACCAAGGCTGCAGGTTCAATCCCTGGTCAGGGCACATACAAGAAGCAACCAATGAATCCATAAATAAATGGGACAACACATCGATGCTTCTCTCTCTCTCTCGTTCTCTCTAAAAAACAAAACAAAACAAAACCCATTTCTCACACCTAGACTGGCCTCTCATTAGAATAGTTATTTCCCCTAAAACAGCCAAAAGCATCCCAGAGACCCTCGGAGACTATAACATAATGCTAACCCACCAATAAATGCAGTCTGCCCACATCCAACCACACAGCCCCGAAGACCTAGTTCTAGGGCTATGACCCCTGCCCCCAAAAGTCTCTCTCATAGAATCCTCCTGCCACCACCAGTGGCTGCTGAGAGGCAACCAAGGAGGTGTGTCGTTAGACAGAGGAGCAGAATCTGTCTCCGAGTCCTCCAAGAAAGGGTCCTGGAAGGAAGGAACTCCCGTCCCCGCCCCTCCCCTACCTGCCAAGAGCTGCATCCAGGCGCAGATCTTGTAGACCGTGGCCGTGTTGCAGAAGAAGAAAAGCGCAAAGCAGGTAATGCAGCCGAGGATCAGCACCATGGAGAGCAGCACGAAGAAGGCGGCTGCCTTGAAGGCGCCGGACGGGATGGTGCTGAAGTCGGTGAACGAGCCTCGGCAGGTGAGCTCGCGACCCGCCAGCCCGCTGCCCACACAGTAGTGGAAGAGGCCGAAGTAGCCAGGCTTGGGGGTGCTCACGCTGTCGCCCACCCAGTAGGGCTGGATGAAGACCACCACGTTGATGATGGCGAAGCAGATGGTGAAGATGGCCCATAGCACGCCGATGGCCCGCGAATTCCGCATGTAGTGCTCGTGATAGAGCTTGGAGGCCTCCTGCGAGGGCAGCATGGTGCCCGGGGGCGGGGCCGGCGGCGGCTGGCGGGGGCCACCGGCCCGGGACCGACCGCGGGGCTGCCGGGCGGGAGCTGAGGACGCACGCGAGAAGCCGCCCTGAGCCGAGGAACTCGAGGGGGCCCGACCTGGGGCAGCGCTGGGGAGACCCGAGGGCCGCCGAGGGGAAGCTGGCAAAGGGTCACGGGAGTGCCGGGTTCGTGTCTGTGGGCAGAGATCTCCAGCTGGGGTCTCGGGAAGGGGCCGTGTGAAAGTTGGGGGGCTGGGTGAGGGGGCTGTGGTGAGGACAGGGGAGCCGCAGTGGAGGGGTTAGAAAGTAGTCACGGGGGAGTTGGGGAAGGAGCTTGGGGGCTGGAATTGGGGGGGCAGACAGGAGGGGACCGTGCGGGGACGGAATGGAGTCTGGGGACCAGTGTTGGAGGCTCAGCCGAGGAGCCGTGTGCAGGGAGCTGGGAAGGGAATTTGGGGGCTGGTGCGAGGGGCGGGGGGTCTGGTGTTGGGTGTCAGAAAAGGACTGTGGCGAGGGGGGAGCGCGTCTGTGAGGCTAAGGAGGGGACGGCAGGGGCTGGGGGTCGGGGAGGTGATGTGGGGGCTGGGACGGGGAGTCGGGTGGCCTGAGGGTCTGGGAAGGCGAAGTGCAGGGATCTGACTGAGGCCAGAGCGGGGCCGGGGGCTGGGCTGCAGCTCCGGGCTCCGGGCGCGCGGGGGTCTCGAAGGGTCCTTCAGAAGCCGGGGCTGGAAGGGGCTGGACGTGGGCTGGGAGGGAGCCGAGGACTGGCGGGCCCAGGCTGGGAAGAGCGGTTTGCCAGGCCAAGAGGACGAGGGACCGGGGCCGGCGGGCCGCCAGGGCCGGGGGGGTCGGGCGGCGGGCGGGAGCTGCGCCCCGGAGCTGGAGAGCCGCCGGGCCCGGGCAGGGCCGGGGGTGGGGGGGCGGCTGCCCCGCGCCCAGGCCGGACGCGCACGGAGGCTGCGGCCGCAGGGAGGGGGTGCGGGGAGACCCACCTGGGCCCGGTCCGGGCAGCGGATCCGGCACTGGCACAACCTAGGCGCCGCAGCTCGGCGCTCCCGGGAGCGGCTGCCTCGGCCCAGGCGGCGGCCGCCGCGCGGCCTCCATCTTGCTCGGGCTCTCCACGGGGCGCGCTCCCGCGCCGAGACGCGCGCGCGTACTGGCGCGGCCGCGCGGAAGCGCGCTCCCGCCTCGGGCAGGCGGGGACCGGCGGAACGGGGGCGGGGGGAGGGTAGCACGGTCCCCGGCGTCCCCCAGCTAGAGCGGTAAGTCCCCTCCACAGTAGGGCGCTCTAGTTTGGGGGACCCCCTTCTTCCAGCCTAAGCTGTGGAACTGTGGGTCCCTGGAAGTCCATGGGAATGGGGGAGGCGCCGAACGCGGTATTACTTGATAGGGTTTAAACTGATCTCTTCCTCCCAAATTACCTTCCTCACAGCCTATCACAGCGCCTCAAGTTGCACCATCACGCTTCCAATCCTTTGGGTCTTGGAGGCGTTGAAGGTTCCCGGAGTCTCCTAGGAAACTGCCAACACCCCTAGGAAAGGGAACCCCCTAAACCGTTAGCAGTCCATGCCCGTGGTGGGGATTCATTGGCTGCCAGCGCAAAGCACAGGACCCAAGGTGAGTATCTGGGGACCGGAGAGGAGGCTGGGAACGTGTCGGTTACCCTCCCTACATTTTCCCCAGTGCCTGGCATGAAGTGGGCACATCATGAATAACAAAGCATCCGAATCCAGGCTCAAGGTCAGGTCAAGAACACCCTGGGGGCACTCCAAGAACGCCAGGGTGGGTCCTGTCTTTCCCTGCAGGGAAATAGCTTTGGCTTAGGATCTGCTAAGGGACCTGGGTTGGCGCTCCAGCAAACTGACTACTACTTGCTATCTCTGTGACCTTGTACTTGTGCTCTCTGAGCCTCTGTTCCTCCATCTGTGGAGTGGGCAGATTAAACCCACATAAGAAAAGTGGGAAGAGGTTTGAAAAATAACCTCTACTACTGGGTTCCAAACACTGGACCTCAACAGGGGTCAGTCTGGTAAAGTTCACATCTATCTGTAGTGTGTATGCATGTGTGTTCCACAGGTAAAAGGGATTGGTGGGTTTTTTCCTGAGATTATGTATTTCCTGCTATCTTAGTGTAAAAATCCCCCGTTTTAAAAGAAATGATAATGATAGTTAATGGAAATTTCTTTTTAATGTCCCTTTTTGGCAAGATTAAAAAAGCCAGTGCTATTTTTCATCCCAAATTTACACACACACACACACACACACACACACACACACAAATCCCACAATTTGGAGCTCTCAGACCCATGCGAAGTCATCTCACCTGCGCACAGAGTGCTCAGCGAGTTTGGTTACTTGCCACTGGTTCCTTGCAGAGGGTATCCTGTCTGTCTCCTGAGAGCCCTAAGATACCGGAATCATATACTGGAAGTGGCTGTGGAAAATATCTCATTCTATACCTTCTCCTACCTGACAGATGGAGGAAAAGGTCAAAGAGGGGGATTGACTTATACAGGGGGGTGGATGATCCTGCCAATTAGGCTGATCAACCTGATTCATGGACTTATTCACCCAGGAAATAAGCTTGCAATAAGCCCCTGCTACGGGGAGAAGATGGTGGATAAGACAGTCGTGGTCCCTGCCCATCCAGAGCTCACAACTTCATTGTGGCAACAGAAGGTGCTGAAAGGAGGATGCAGGCAACTGGTCATCCTCAAAGAGCACCTCAGAGTCTCGGAGTACTCCTGGTTGGCTACAGTTCCGAACACAAGTTATTGGAGCCTGAAGCTCCATCTTGTCTCCTTACTCTGCCATGAATTACTGCCTTTTTCTCTATACTACTGAGCCAAGTGAGGCAGTCCAGGAGAAATACCATAGAACTTCCCTTACTACTCTAGAGGGAAGAACTGAGAATTCTTGCTAAGATGGGCCCCCATTTCCTCACTGGTTGTCTATTTTAGCTCTGCAGAGCAATGATGCCTACAGAGCATTAAATAGTATCTCATTTAATTTTCACAATAACACTATGCAGAAATGTGTCCACCACCCAAATCACTTCTGACATCAATATTTTTTCTTTAAAGAAACTCCTTTCTCCTTTACTCAGTCCCTGGGTTTGGTGAGAGTTGCCCCAACACCACCACCATACTTTTCTGCAGAGGGGGACAAATGAGCAGGCCTGGACAATGAAAATACTCCATTATAGAACACAGGGATTGATTCAAGAGTGGGGTCCATATGCCAACCCAAATAGTTGAGAATGATTTCCAGCTTACAAGAAAGAGGTGTTCTCTTTCCGCTGAGGTTGTTGAGCTGGGGAAATTGTAAATTTTAGCTACCGGGGGCCATCTTTGACACCTGAAGCAGAGAGTTTGTCTTAGAATAAGATGAACATAGAAGGAAGTTAAGAAGTGGAGAGAGATAGTTCCGATGACATAGCTTGAGCACCTAGATCCATCCAAGCCTGAAGACCTGCTTCTGGATTGTTCTGTTACATGAGCCAATAAATTCAATTTTTGCTTAAGCCAGTTTGAGTTGACTTTTTATCACTTTCAATTAAAATAATCCCAAACAATTTACCTACATCTCCCTCCAAAAAAGAGAGTAAGGCTGATATACTGGATTGCTTATACCGTAAAAGAATGCCTGAACAGATGAGCTACTCCTGACATCTTGGAACCAAAAGACCAAAATTTGAGGCCCATCTCTGCCGCTGTTCAACAGTGTGACCCAGGACAATGACGCTCCTCTTCAGAGCCCTATTTTCTTCATCTATAAAATGGAGAAAATCTCCTTCCTACAGATGCTGTGAGGATTAAAGGAGATACTGGATGGAAAAGAGCTGTGTAAACTGAAAATGGCTTTATAAATGCAACTGTCATTAAATTTTAATAAGTGGATTGCCCAAAGAATAGAAATAGCCATGTATTAAGGCACTTGCTGAGCTGGGAGCAGCTGGGGCAGAATGTCTCCTCATTTTAAATATGAACCTCAGGGCAGTTACAGAAAAAAAAATTGAGAACTTCTCATTGTCCCGAGGGAGTGGCCAGACCAGAATGGAACAGTTGTGGGGTCAAGATAGGGACTATCAACCATAGGTAAAGATGATGTTGGTGCTCATTTCGGTAGCACACACACTAAAATTGGAACAATACAGAGGTTAGCATGTCCCCTGCACAAGAATGACATGCAAATTTGTGAAGCATTCCATATTTTTTTAAAAGATGATATTGGATTGAGCATCTGGCTGAGAAGAGAAGCCCCCAGGGCACATCCACCCAATATCCTACCAAAGAAAGATTTGTGACTTGCTGAATACCCTTATGTCTAACTGTTCAGTTATGTTAAATAGTTATTAAGCTCTTAAAACATTCTAGGCTCCTGATCTTTGCTCTACATGTATTGTCTTATTTAATTTTCAAAATAACCCTATGAAATTGTGTTTTGGGTTGAATCGTGCCCCTCCATATGTATATTGAAGTACCAACCTCTGGTACCTCAGAATGTGACTGTATTTGGAGATATGGCCTTTAAAGAGGTAATTAAGGTAAAGTGAGCTCATACAGGTGAGCCAATCCAATATGACTGTTCTTATAAGAAGATATTAGGGCCCTGGCTGGTGTGGCTCAGTGGATTGGGCGTGGGCCTGTGAAGCAGAGAGTCGCTGGTTCGATTCCCGGTCGGGGCACATGCCTGGGTTGCAGGCCGGGTCCCCAGTGTGGGACGCATGGGAGGCAACCACACATTGATGTTTCTCTCCCACTCTTTCTCCTTCTCTCTCTAAAAATAAACAAATAAAATTAAAAAAAAAAAAGAGATTAGGGCCCTGGCTGGTATCGCTCAGTGGATTGAGCGCCGGCCTTCTAGCTCATTGGATTGCCAGTCAGGGCACCTGCCTGGGTTGCAGGCCAGGATCCCAGTAGGAGGCACACAAGAGGCAACCATACATTGATGTTTCTCTCCCTCTTTTTTCCTCTTTTCTTCTCTGTCTAAATAATAAATAAATAAAATCTTTTTTTAAAAAAAGAAGAGAGTAGGAGATATAGCGCATAGACCAAGGGCAACCATGGAGGACACGGTGAGAAAGCAACCATGGGAGAGAGGCCTCAGAAGAAAGCAAACTTGACAACAACAACTTGATCTTGGATTTCTAGCCTCTAGAACTGTGAGAACACACAAATGTCTATTGTTTAAGCCTCTGTAGTATTTTGGTATGGCAGCCCTAGGAAACTAACACGGGTAGGCACTACTATACGGCCATTTTACAGAGGTTAAACGACTTGCCCAAAGTCACACCTCTAGCAAGTGGAGGAGCTGAGATCCCCAAGTAGCCTCCCATAAAGTGTGCATACTTAATTACTACACCATATAGATAATTGCATAGAGTGGATTCAATTCTTCTCAATTCTTCTCTTTTTTTCCTTTTTAAAATCCACATAATTTATTTATGTGCACCTGCACTGGCATCAGACATTTGGGTTCAAGTCTCATTTCTGCTCATGACTGCACTTAAACCTCAGTTTCCTCATCTGTGAAATGATCTGTAAAATGAGAAGATGATAATAGCAGTATCTCACTCCATGTGTTCAGGAAGGTTGAATGAGATATTGTGCACTTAAAGTGCTGAGCACTAGGAAAACTTGCAAAGCTATTTGCTGTTATCATTGCATGGCTAGAAAGTGGAAGTTTCAGGATTCAAACCTGGGACTGGCTTGGTCGAAGCTAGTGCACATAACTCTTACACTGAACTGTTCGAATTTGCTGAGCCCCTACAGAGAGGCATGGGAGCTATGCAGTCAGACAAATGGGTGTTTGTATTCTAACCCTAATACCCAGTACCCAATATCCAACACCTTTGTGGGATTGAGTAAGTTATTTACACTTTCTGAACCTCACATTTTGTAAAAGATTTTATTTATTTATTTTTAGAGAGGGGAGGGAGGGAGAGAGGGAGAGAAACATCAATGTGTGGTTGCCTCTCGCACTCCCCTTACTGGGGACCTGGCCTGCAACCCAGGCATGTGCCCTGACTGGGAATCAAGCTAGTGACCCTATGGTTCACAGGATGTCACTCAATCCACTGAACTACACCAGCCAGGGCTGAACCTCACTTTTTAATCTATAAAGTTCAACTAACAACTCCTTAACCTCACACGGTTTAAATGAGGTAAAATGTGAGATATTGGTTACATAGTAGATGCTCAGTAAATATTAGTAGTTAGAGAAAGCTGGCAACAGTAAAGCCATATTGCAAGCCTTGAAGACATTGAAGTCATTAAGGTCCCTGAAAATGTCTATAAGAGAAAAATTACTCTTAAAAAAATCCTTTATTTTTACATAAAGTACAATAAGCAAAGTCTCATGTAAATCACCCCATTCTATTATTCTTAAGTACTAAAATTCAAAAAAACTGAGATATACTAAAGAAAGAAACAAAAGGAAACTCCATTTTCAGGTATGGAGCCATTTATACCATTCTGCCTTAAAATAGTATTAATTACTTAAAAATGAGGGTTAGGTGGAAAATTCTAAAGGATTCATATTTACCTGTAAGTAGAACTTACTCTTTATTTATCTACAAAGTCTCCAAAACAAAAATAGATTATTTTTTGCTTTTGAGTATTAAATACATTGTCACTTCTTAAGGAATCAATCATTAAACGTGTATGTGAAACATCTGTGGGCCCCGGCTGGCTGGCTCAGTTGACTGGAGCATCCTCTCACACACCAAAAGGTTGCTGGTTTGATTTTTGGTCACATACTTAGGTCGCACACACCTAGATTGCAGGTTTGATCCCCGGTCAGGGTGCACACAGGAGACAACAGCTCAAAGTTTCTCTCTCTCTCTCTGTCCCTCTCCCTCTCCTTCTCTCTCCCTCTTTCTCCCTCTCTTCCTAAAGTCAATAAGCATACACTTGGGTGAGGATTTGTTTTTTCAAAGTTCATGGGGGTTTGTCCAGCATTCCTTTTCCTTTTCTTCTGGTAATAGTATCCAGCTTCCGTTAGAAAACTGCTACCCCTTCTCCTCCCTGGACAGGATGGACATGGGTCCAAGTCCAGGCAGTTATAGCACCTGTCTTAGTCAGCTCTGGCTGCTATACTAGGATAGCACAGACTATGTGGCTTGAACAACAAATATTTTCTCCTCACACTTCTGGAAACTGGAGATCAGGGTGCCGGGGTGGTGAGGGCTTGATTCCTGAGTGCTGTCCTCAAGTGGCAGAGAGAGCCTTAGCAGTCTTCTCTGCATAAGGACACTAATCTTATTTTGGAGGCTCTACCCTCCTGACTTCATCTAAACCTAATTACTTCCCATTAATTTAATTTAACTTAATTTGCATTTTTCTAATGACTAGGGATGTTAAACATCTTTTCATATGCTTATTGTTTATGTATTTTCTCTGAAGACATGTCTATTTTCTCATTTTTGTATTAGGATGAGTTGTAGGAGTGCCTTCTTTTTTTAGAAAAAGAGAGAGAGATAGAGCCCTGGCTGTCGTAGCTCAGTGGATTGAGCACAGGCCTGCGAACTAATGCGTCACCGGTTTGATTCCCAGTCAGGGCACATACCTGGGTTGCAGGCCAGTTCCCGGCAGGGGATGCACAAGAGGCAACCATACACTGATATTTCTCTCCCTCTCCCCTTCCCCTCTAAAGATAAATAAATAAAATCTATATAAAAAAAAAGAAAAAGAGAGAGAGAAAAAGTTGCTTTGTTTTCCCCCTTATCTGTGCTTTCATTTGTTTCTTCTTATACGTGTCCCGTCTAAGGATTGAACCCACAGCCTTGACCTATTGGGATGATGCTCTAAGCAACTGAGCTACCCAGCCATGGCCGAGTTGTAAAAGTTTTTATATTTTCAGAATATTAACTAAATATCACGTAAATGGTTTGCAAACATTTTCTACCCTTTGATGTACAAATGTTTAAACACTTTAAAAATATTTTATTTATTTATTTATTTTTAGAGAGAGGGGAAGGGAGGGAGGAAGAGAGGAAGAGAAGCAGCGATATGTCGGTGTTTCTCACTCTCCCCTTACTGGGGACCAGGCATGTGCCCCAACTGGGAATCGAAATGGTGACCCTTGGATTCTCAGGCTGACACTCAATCCACTGAGCCACACCAGCCTGGCAAATGTTTTAAATCTTGATGGAGTCTAGTTTATCCGTTTTTTAAATTTTGTTGTCTCTGATTTTTTGTGTCATATCCAAGAAACCATTGCTAAATCCAATGTCATGAAATCTTGCCCCTATATTTTCTAAGAGTTTTATAGTTTTAGCTCTTACCCTTAGGTCTTTGATCCATTTGAATTATTTTTCTGTATAATGTAAGATAAGAGCCCAACTTCACTCTTTGCATGTGGCTATCTAGTTGTCCCAGCACCACTTATTGAAAAGACTGTCCTTTCCCCATTGAATGATTTTGGCACACTTCTTGAAAATTAATTGACCATACATACGAGAGTTATTTCTAGGCTATTTTATTCCATCAGTCTGTATGTCTATCCTTATGCCAGTACTGCTGTTTTAAAGGAATCAGTGGCTCAATGGTTTTAATCATGTTAAATCTTAACATGATGGATTGTTGCTTGTATGCAGAAGTTTTGCTGTATTTTATTAATGTTTTAGGAAATTGTTTGAAGCTTGGTGTTGACATGTCATGCATTATAATTTCTCCCATGTAAAATAATGGGAACCAGGCTTCTTCCAGCCTTTGTTTTCCTAAAAAAAAACAAAAACAAAAACGTGACTTCTAACACAGATTACTAAACAAGAGATTCCTGTATTTTATATCTAACCTTTATTAGTTATCCCTACATCTATAGACATTTGTACTTAACAAAAAATCTAAAGTAAATTAAGATCTCTATGTTCCCCCCTACAGAAATAGATCTTAGAATATTTTAACTTCGAACCACATTTTTCCATCTTCTAGTTAAAACCACAAAGGGTAACTTCTAAAAGTCAGATTTGTTGAAGTATAATTTATGTACAATAAAATTCACATTTTTCAGTATCGACAAACACATGCAGTCATGTAATCACTACCAGAATTGAGATATAGATCAATTCCACTGCCTCCCAAAGTTTCCTGCTTTCTGTTTGTTGTTGGTTTCTCACCACACCCTGAATCCTAGACAACATTGTGGTTATTTTAAGTACATTTTATTAATTATGCTATTACAGTTATCCTATTTTTTCATCCCCTTTATCAC